CCCCCCCCCCCCCGCCCCCCTCTGCTCGGACACACGCCCTCCTGAGAGTGTCCCAACCAGCTCTCGCCAGGGCGACGACCCGGAGGGCGCCCGCGCCCCGAGTCACCCCCCGCGCCCGTATGGGAGCCCCCGCCCCGTCCCCGGCGGGGGTCTTCTCTACAAGCACACATGCCCCTCCCTCTTGCCGATCTTCCCTCTGTAGGACGTCATCCCGGACGCGGGGTGCGCGCAGGGAGGGGACACGGCGTGGGCGAGGGTGGCTGGGGGGCCGCCACCAAGGAGCGCCCTCCAGAACAGGAGGGACCCTAGGATGCTTGACGAACAGCCAAAGGCATCCGCGGCCCTCGGCGCCAGCCATGGTCTCGGACCTCCTCCCCCCTCCTGACGCAGTGGCTCGAGAGGGAGGGGATCCATTGTCCGGACGAAAATGCTCCCAGAGGCGCCGGCCCCCGAGCGATCCCCCGGAGGTCACTTGCCGAAGGACAGCGCCACTTCGCAGGAGGCCTTGAACAGGTCCATAATGTGTGCGACCACAGCACACGCGTAGACCCGTTCCATAGCCACCCCTTGAACAAGGCAAGGGCCGAGGTCAGCCGCCCCGCTTCGGGCCTTGCCTCTTGGCCGCGTCGCGCTTTCAGCAGTCGAAACCCTCAAGTTTGGTTGGGAAAAAAACCGCAGCGCGAGACCGGCACGCTCAGCCAGCCCGCTGGCGGCCGGCAACGTACGGACCCCGGGACCCTAGGGGCTGGGGCACCAGGCCCTCCAGTCTCCGACAGCGTTGGCAACCCATATATTTGCCATATAAAAGGTGCGATTTTCCTGCCCGCCCAGCCACAAAAGGCTGGCCAAGTTCTGGAATTGGGGTTCTTTCTTTCGGCGAGAGGGCTTTTGGAATCCCCGACCCCAGGGAACATGATCAGGTCACGCGATGCGGCGTTTGCTGCCCTGGGAGGTTCCTCGCTTGTGGCCGCTGGCCCCCCCCCCCCCCCATCACCCTGGGGGAGGAGAACATGCAGGGTGCGCTCACAGCGCCCTCCGTGCATATGGCCCCCTTCCCCTCCTTCCATGTTCTCCCGCCCTCGCTTCTCCAGTTGGCCAAGCGACCGGCCTGAGAAACGCCGCTCGAGCTTCCCTCGCATGAATCCGGTGCAAGGAAGAAGTGGTCTGGTCGGGGCAGGCACACATGTTCTCGCCCCGCCCCCCCTCCTCACCCTGCTGCCCGGAAAATGCCCGACCGCCTTGACCCTTCTCCGACGAGTTCCTGCCTTCCAGAGACAGGCGGGGCCATCTGGCGGCACGCCTGTTGGCCCAGGGGCAGGCTTGTCGATTGCTCCTCCATCCCCGCCCCCTCGGCCCTGCATTCGTCCCGGGCTTGGTGTCGACTTGGGGGATGGATGTCGACTACCACAGCGTGTTTGCGCTGCCTCGGGTCGTTTCGAGGCGTGTGCGAATGTATCTCCGAGAGAGAGAGAGAGTGCACACACGAAGGCTTGTTGTTTGAGGTATATTTGAAGGGTAGGGGGAGGGAGGGGGAGGGGCGCGCGCACACGCGAGGTCCCAGCTGTGATAGGGAGCACACGCATGGTGTGTACATAGTAAAAAAGGGAGGGGGGAGGGGGAGAAGCGCAGCAGGGAGGCAGCGGAGGAGGGAGGACATTCGACGAATCCTTTGCCCGTGCTCTCGCTCTCATTGGGCGCCTAATCTACTGGTCGCCCTGCTAATGTGTGGAGGATCGCGGAGGGAGGGGGAGGGGGACATGGGTACTGGGGGAGCGAGAGTAAGGAGGGATCGTGTGCGCATGACACTTTGTACATGCGTGAGGACATGTACGCACACCATCTCTCCATGGTCCCCTCTCCCCGCGCTCTTTGCGCCGCTCGCAGCCTTGCGTACTACAGACAGAGTCCCATGCCCGGCTCCTTGGGGGCGCTGGAGAAATCCCCTCCTGATGCATACGCGTGTGTATAGACGCGCGCATGTGCTCGCACACTTAGGTAGCCTTGTAGTTGAGGCGAATCATGGTCTCGGTAGACTCCTCGATCAGTGCATCGAAGGTCTTGTCCAGGTCCTCGCGAGTATGGGCAGACGAAATGCAAATGCGCATGCGGGAGGTGACCAGGGGGGTGGCCGGGAAGCCGACGACCACCACAGCAATGCCGCGCTTGAGGAAGGATGTGCCAATGTGACTGCGAGCGTGTAAACGTGCAGAAAAGTAGGAGGAGAGGGGGGGGGGGAATAAAGGGGGTCAGTATGGCGAGAAAGCAGGGAGATGTGGGGTACATATATATATATATATGTGTATGTATGTATGCCAGGCGCGTGCACATGGGCACATCGGCCGGACGACCGGCGGCGAGGTGTTACGCACCGGACATTGGACGGGTTGTAGAGGAGGACCGGAATGACCGGGGTGTCCTCGTCGCCATAGACCACGAAGCCAGCATCGACCAGACGCCGGCGGAGGTACATGCTGTTGTCGCGGAGCTTCTTGATGCGGTCCAGGCCGTCGTTGGTGCCGTCGCGGCCCATAATGATGGACAGCGAGGAGATGACCTGCTGGCAGACCGGAGGGGGCATGGTCTCGGAGTAAATGGAGCTATGGGCCCGGGCACGGATGGTGTCGATGATGGCCTTGCTACTGGCAACATAACCACCGGCCGCACCGAAGGACTTGGTGAAGGTGCCCATGAGGATGTCCACATCGGTGGTAGGCACGGCCCAGTAGTCGCAAATACCGCGGCCACGGGGACCGAGGGCGCCAATCGAGTGAGCCTCATCAACATAGAGGTAGCACTGGCGCAGCGGAGAGGGAGGGCAATGTTGCGCAGGTCAGAGAGAGGGTGGTGGGTGGGGGAGAGAGAAGAGTGCGGGACACAGCACATCCTCGAAAAGGGCGCAAACAATCGCGAAGAAGGGGGGCCCGGCCCAGAAGGCAGACACGTACCTTGTACTTCTTCTTCAGCTCGACAATGCGCGGCAGATCGCAGACAGAGCCCTCCATCGAGTAGATGCCCTCAACAATGATCATGATCTTGCGCCACGGGCGGTGGGTGCGCGGCTGGCCAGAGGCAATGGCCTGGCGGAGAACGCGCTCAAGGTCGGCGGCACAGTTGTGCTTGAAGACGCGGGTGGTGGAGCCGGAGTTACGGCAGCCGTTGATGATGGACGCGTGGTTAAGCTCGTCACTCACGATGAGGCAGCCCTTGCCCATGAGGGCCGGAATGATGGTGGAGTTGGTGGCGAAGCCCATGGAGCAAACAATCGCATCCTCGGTGCCGACAAACTCGGCGGTCAGCTTCTCGAGCTCCACATGCAGGGCATGGGTGCCGGCCTCGGCGCGAGGGCTGTTGTAGGAGACACCGTGGGCACGCAGAGACAGCTCCACCTCGTCGGCACAGCGGCCCTCATTCTGAGCGAAGCCAAGGTAATTGTAGGAGCCCATGTTGATGACCTCGCGAGTGCGGCCAGTAAGCTGTACATATCCACGTGTGTGTGTGTGTGTGTGTGCAGCATCGAGGCAAGGGGCCGCGCGAGGATGGCAATGGGTGTAAGTCGATGGGAGCGAGAAAGAGCAGCAGCAGCAGCAGCAGCAGCCAGGAGCATGGTGCAGGCATATGCTGTCATATCGGTGCCGACGTACCTGGAAAGTCTTGTTGTAGTCCTTGGTCACGCGCTCGAGGAGGGTAAGCCGAGCGCCGGCCACACCAGTGATCGGGCGGTTGAAGCAGTCGCGAGTACGAATGTAGATGCGGCGAGTGTAGAAGCTCTCGAAATCCGAATAGAGAGGGGCATAGCCCTGGGGAAGAGTGCGGGATCAAGAGTGGCGGGAGTTGGAGGGGACGACAGCGTGTCGGTATGGTGTGTGAGACATTGGCATAAGGGGGTTGTCGGCTGTGCGCGCGCGCGCGCGCGTGTGTGTGTGTGGGGGGGGGGGGGGGGAGAAGGACACGAATCACCGCCAATTGCACTATGATCCATGCTCCCCTGCCTACACAGCGTACCTCCTCCTTCAGATGGTTGTAGCCCTGGGGGCGGAGGAACTTGCCGAAGAAGTCACGAATGTGGCCAAACACGGTCAGAGTGATGTACGACAGGTGGGTGATCAGCACCACGATGGGGTACACCCAGGACTCGGGAGTGTCTGAATTTCGTTTGGATGTCAGTGATCTGGTTGGCCAGACAGGGGCGCCTGCAAATGTGAGGGGGCACCTGGAGGTCCTCTCGCTTTGGCTGCCAACCCCCCCCCCCTCCCCGATGGAACAAGTGGCAAGAGGACAAAAAAGCGAGGAAATGTGACAAGGGCATCGGGCACGCACGGTCATCAAAGGTGACGATGGGCTGGTGGGCAGCCTTGCGCAGGAACTCATCCGCATCAACAGACTCCAGCAGGCCCTTCGGGACAATGCCGACCGAGTTGGGGTCCAGCGGCTCGGAGGGGGTATAGGCCGGGTTGCGCTTGAGCAGGTCCTTGGTTGAGGGAGTGGGGTCCAGGGAGGTGAGCTGGTAGGTGGACGAGGCGCTCGGGTCGACATGGGCGGCCTCGGCCAGGATCTCGTGCAGGGTGCGCTTGGCACCAGCGGCAAAGGGCGAGGCGGCAGACTCGCCCTGAGCCATCTCGGCGGCCATGGTGTTGTCGTTACCCACCCCGAGGCCGGTCGTCAGGGTGGGGAGGCGCTCGACTTCCTGAGCGGCCATCGATGGTCCGCGGAAAGGGGGGTGGGCAAAGGTGCGCGGGCACTGTGCGTGTGTGTATGCATGCGTGCACACGTATATGGGCGCGTTAGCAGGGACGTGGGGGGGGGGGAAGGCAGCAAGGGAGGAGGCCGGGTGTCGGAAGGAGGGGGGGGGGATGAGGCGATCGGCGAGGGCGGGCGTGGGGGATGTGTGTGCGCGAGCAAGGAGCAGGGAGGTGGACCGGGAGCTGGGAGACCGGGGCCAGTCCGCCCAGGCAAATATGCCCAACTGTCGCGGATCAGGGCCAAACTCGGTGCCAAAGAAAGAGGAAGGAGAGCGAGTGAGGCGCGCCCCGCTCGCCCCTCTTCCGGCTCAGGGGCCAAGAGGGAGCGGGCCGCGATGGGTCAGGGTCTACATGCGCGCGCGCGCGCGCGTGCGCGCGAGAGAGACCAAGAGCGAGAAGAGGGGGCGCCCCTCCC